GCAGATAGCCCTCGTGTAGCTGTGCGCGATATTCAAAAACAAACGATTAAAGTAATTTTTGTTTTTAAGTTTTTTACCATAGGTATTGTTTTTTTGATATCTTTATTATGCACTTAGCATCACTGGATCCACTTCTTTATAAAATAGGGCTCCGACACAACACTCCCCTCTCAAGGTGTACTGTCACGTTTCGTTTGGTAATACTGCATACAATAAAAGTGTATTGCAGAAGTTAAGGTGTACTGTCACGTTTCGTTTGGTAATACTGCATACATTAAAAGTGTATTGCAGAAGTTAAGGTGTACTGTCACGTTTCGTTTGGTAATACTGCATACATTAATTAAAAGTGTATTGCAGAAGTTAAGGTGTACTGTCACGTTTCGTTTGGTAATACTGCATACATTAAAAGTGTATTGTAGAAGTTAAGGTGTACTGTTACGTTTCGTTTGGTAATACTGCATACATTAAAAGAAGTTCGTCTGTCTGTGCTGTGCCCACTTATTTTAGTGTCATAAGCCCTCAAGCTTACCGCTCAACCACAAGGGGCTGTATTGAGGAAAGAAGGTTATCTTTAGAAAACATCAATTTCATACTTTCTGTACCTTTGGTTTGCATGCCTACATGTTGCACACCATTCAAACCAAACAGCTTATAATCTGTCAGATCCTAAACTTTTTCGTGCAGTTCTAGTCACCATACAGGTTTTATCAGTGGTATTCATTGCTATACAAATGTTGTTTTATCTCGTATGGCAAAAAGAAAGTTTAATTAGTTTGCAGTCCTTTTTTCCTCTCAAATACTTAACTAATATATTTTTCTGGTCTGTATCTGTCAAATAAATAGCACTAAAAAGATTTAGTCAGATTATAGTGCTTTTTGTGTGTGAGTTTGAAGTGCAACAACACTCAGGAAAACGATCGTTATGACAAAAGAATAAAAGATATTGGTTTCTCGACTATTACGTGTAACCGTTCAATGCGCGTAGTCTACACTCACTGATCTGCGACGTACTTTTATGTACGTAGTCTACACTCACTGATCTGCGACGTACTTTTATGCACGTAGTCTACACTCACTGATCTGCGACGTACTTTTATGTACGTAGTCTACACTCACTGATCTGCGACGTACTTTTATGTACGTAGTCTACACTCACTGATCTGCGACATACTTTTATGTACGTAGTCTACACTCACTGATCTGCGACGTACTTTTATGTACGTAGTCTACACTCACTGATCTGCGACGTACTTTTATGTACGTAGTCTACACTCACTGATCTGCGACGTACTTTTATGCACGTAGTCTACACTCACTGATCTGCGACGTACTTTTATGTACGTAGTCTACACTCACTGATCTGCGACGTACTTTTATGCACGTAGTCTACACTCACTGATCTGCGACGTACTTTTATGTACGTAGTCTACACTCACTGATCTGCGACATACTTTTATGTAGCTCTGATTCATGTAAGAATCACAGCCTGAATCATGTTATTAATACAAAACATCTGTCTAAAATGACTACTATTCTTGTTTGTAAAGTAAATTTTGAAGTTTGTCTTTTCAGTACCTTAATTATTATATTCAGATTGTGTGTCAAACTATTGCTGTTCAAGACATGTGGTACATTGTAATGTGGAAAGTTGTCTACTGCGGGCGTTCGTGGCTTTCTTTATAAACCTCTATACGAGTTCCAAACTAGATAAAACTGGTCTACATTGTGATATCACTCCACCATTCTGGATGGTTGAAATGAAACAGTCACATCCAAAGTATTCTTCAGATCGCCATCAAGCCTAAACCCATCTTTCCAAAGCAAATAATTAATACTCCATATGACAGTTTTCAAGTTAACTGGGCCATGAGGACTGATTCCTAAGATTCGCAACAGTAACAAACAATGCACGGGTTACAGTGAAAACTAGCAAAATATTTCTCCTGGTGGGTGTGCAAACTCGAGTCCTTACTAAAGCATTGAGTGACTAGTTTGATGCCACATGTACAGTTTTGTTTCACGATGTCTTCCAAAGCTTATATAAACTAAAACTTAATAAGTTTTGACTGGCCAGCCCATCTTTCTACATTAACACATTTAGTTAGGGATCTGAGTATAGGTAAATGAGTTGAAGTATCCTAAACAACCAACGCTGCATCTAATAGCATTCTTCTTTCAAGGTCCACGTGCTTCTCTGCGAAAAAAATTTGTTTGTTAAACAATGTACAAATTAATTGTATTTATATATATCTATACTTATTTCTAAAGGTAATTCAGCTCCCCAGTGGCTTAGCGATAAATCTAAAAGCATACAACATTGAAAACCAAGTTTTGATGCATTTGATGGATACAGCATAGTGTCGCTTTGTGCATAGCAATAAAACAAACAAGAGAGTTTAGTGAAATAAAAATAATTACATTAAATGGATCTTCTGACTTCTGATAAGCTGTATGTCCAGGTCCAATGGCTAGCTGACACTGTTCCGTCAAAGAATACTGTTCACCTGGAAGTAATCCACTGGCGGTGTGGACAAGGTTAACAGATGGTGACGAAGAGTCGTCTGACAGGCAGTTTCCCATGCCTTTGCTATAATAAATAGACAATTACAAAATATATTTTTTCGTATCAAAAAATGAAGGACATAGTATTAATAATCTAAATAGTCAGTAACAACATCTGTCTTGTTTTCTTAACCCTTTACTCCAAGCACATCTTATTGCTTTTTAGAAGTATTTCATAACAGCTGTTTAGAAGACCCCATCACAAAAGCAGTTAGAATGGTATTGGACGTAATGTAAATGTCTCGTCGGTATTGGTTATAGTAAGTATAGTGTGGTTGACCCTTGTAATTTGTATACTTATATAATTTGTAATTCACTTGTTATGTTTCAATATAAATACATAGAGGGGGGGGGGGTATTCTAGAAACCACTAGTTTTCTGTATCCTATAATTTTTATAAGTATTGTTGCGTCAGCGAGGTCACGTGACTATTGTCACGCTACATTTTCTAGAAATATCCTGTTCCTTCGTGAATGCCCTAGCATTTACTAGATTGGGGGAAGTCTGGTATATATAAGATGGTCACAACGTGACGGGACAACAGTGTAATGAGTAATTGAATGTATGCGGACAAAATAATGTATAGATAATATCTTCTAAATATATATTCAATGATCCTCACAATATTCAGCATTTTTCTCAAATTACTAACTTTTATATTTATTGAAAAGAGAGAATGAAAATAAATAAAAATAACGATAGTTTGCCAGAAAGTTCGATTTAGACATACGGTTTTGAAACATAGTGTACTAGGTCCAGACTTTCCCTATAAAACTGATTTTCAGTAGTCTTGTTCCTTTGGTCAAATTTGTTCCCCTAGGTTAATTAGTTTTAAAATATAATAATGAAAACTCAAGCCACTCATTGTATTTTGTGGCTGGGTACTTACTCGCATTGTCTATTCTAATTTAAAGACTTATCAAATTCATTTAGTGTCATTTGGTAGCAGTTTGCTAAGACTAATATGGTTCTGTCATAAGCCTAACTTTCTATCTAATGTTTTAAACTCTCTATTATATCGTGTAATTCCGTTATTCAACATCCCTATCATGTACATTGGTGCTCTTGTTAGATTTTTTGGAACAACTTAAAAAATAAAAGACAGATCCATTCGGATAGAGTTGTGGAAACAGATTGAAAATAGAAGTTGGCTCGAACGTGAAGGGACGATAAGTTTCTTGTCTCTTCAGACACTTGATAAAATAATAAATATATGTCAGTCTGTAGCATTTTGTTCACACGATGTGTAAGGTTTTCAAGTACATATACATATTTATAGACTATATCATACAAAGTATTGTGACAGAACACCCCTAACTAGTAAAAACTCTATTCCAACTAAACTTGCATATGGATTCCATGACATAAGGTTAGTAAAAAGCCATCAGCTTTCATAGACAACAAGGTTGAACGAAGAAACATGTTTCAGTGGTAAGCTGAAAATTTGACAGTAAATTTTTATCTGTATTATTATTATTATTATTAAACGTTAAAAGTATGTTATTTGCGACACTGTTTCTAATTTGTAATCGTGAATTAAAGTCCCAAACAACTTTTTGTGTGTCAACAACAGTACATCAAACTCAAGTTAGCAAGAACAAGCTAGTCATTTCAATAACTTGTGATAATTGCATTACGTTTCTACCCGAATCCACCAAAGGATTCTTATAGGCCGCATTTCAAGCTCTTTATTTTTCTTTATTTGTGAATGAATGTGAAAACCAGGCGATTGTTTTGACTACATAAATGCCTTTAGACCAAACTTTCACACACTTCTAGTTTAATTACCAGGCGATTGTTTTGACTACATAAATGCCTTTAGACCAAACTTTCACACACTTCTAGTTTAATTACCACGCAATTGTTTTGACTACATAAATGCCTTTAGACCAAAGTTTCACACACTTCTCGTTTAATTACCAGGCGATTGTTTTGACTACATAAATGCCTTTAGACCAAACTTTCACACACTTCTAGTTTAATTACCAGGCGATTGTTTTGAGTATATAAATGACTTTAGTCCAAACTTTCACACACTTCTAGTTTAATTACCAGGCGATTGTTTTGACTACATAAATGCCTTTAGACCAAACTTTCACACACTTCTAGTTTAATTACCAGGCGATTGTTTTGAGTATATAAATGACTTTAGTCCAAACTTTCACACACTTCTAGTTTAATTACCAGGCGAT